CTCTTTAAATGACACTTTTATTGTAATGACACACAGTTAAAAATAGGTTTCAAAATCAAAATGTCAGACGTATTTACATAGGCATACAAAGGGAACATCTGCACGTTTTCTTCCTCGTCATCCACACTCTCAGAACCTGAACAGTAACACGCAGCCTTTGTGTTCGGCAGTGGAGTGTTGGTCCCTGTCGTAATCGGGTCACGGTCATCACTGGCAAAACTGTTGCTTGTTTCTTGAATTGCAGGGTAATATCATTTAAAAGAAGCTGTCCAGTCTGATTCAAATAAACTTATTACTGGGGCCATGGTTACAACTACAATTTATGTAAATATAATCATAAGTATCATTATTAATGTTGTTAATATTTTTCTGCTTGGGTGTAAATACGACACCATGGACCTGATGCTTGACATAGTTGAATGCTTAGAGTACCATTATTATCAGTCCAAGTATTAAGCTTGTTTTCTTTACCGTCATTTTTGTTAATGCCATTTAATCATTATTACAAATTTAACAATTTCAACTATTAACGCCCTTTTTGCCATTATTGTCAGCGTTATAATCAGCATATTCACATTATATCGCACAGTTACATTTCGAATGTAATAATTATTGTTAGCATTTCCAAATAATTTCTTACTTTGTCATCAATTACGTTTTCTGTACGATTTACATAATGGCAAACTTACGTTTTTTTTTTTTTTTTTTTTTTTTTTTTTTTTTTTTTTTTTTTTTTTTTTTTTTTGTATGTGAAAACAGAGCACATGAAGATGAGATGCATGTGTACAGCATAAGTGATAGCGGCGAAGCCTTAAGTGAATGTAACCCATTCAGGATTAAAACTGTCCGGAAGCAGTTTGCCGACGGTGGTCTTCATGTAAATCTTGTTGGGCATAGTCAGGTAAACCTCCCAGTCCAGTCCGAACTCTGCCAGAGTCTGGCGGCACGCGCCGCACGGGCCCACGAACCTCTGCCCCATCTCTGCACTGATGGCGATTGCCCGGAACTTCCGGTAACCCTTGGCGACGGCACTGCAAACGGCGGTCCTTTCGGCGCAAACCGTCAGTCCATACGAAATATTCTCGACGTTACACCCTTCAATGACCTCTCCCGCGTCCGTCAGAAGGGCTGCTCCTACCGCAAACTTGCTGTATGGGCTGTACGAGTTCTGGCGGGCCCGGAGACTGGAGTCTATCAGCTTCTCCAATTCCGAATCTGTGAAAGTAGGAAGCCGAATCATAGGTGAGATTTTCTTTTTTTCTTTACCAGCATCTTTAAAAAACTGGATTCCAACTGTGGGTCTATACTCGAACTACAGGCAATATGCCAAATAATTGCATGTTTTTCTTATCTGCTAAAACTTTGAAAGGTTTCTCTATTATCCAGAATGCCTGACGTTCAGGACTTCGTTATTTGATTTTTATAGTCGAAAGTTGCTTAGCATTATTCATCTAGTCACAGATTCACCGGTGAAGTTTAAACACTGTTTAATAGGTCGTTTAAAAGTCATACCAAATGCAGAGTCCAATAGTGATATTGACCGCCATGAAAGCAAGTCCATTAAAACATGAAACTGTTTAAATGGATATTAAGAGGCATCGTGAGGAAATAGGAGCACTTACGCCATCCCGTCAGCAGATTTTTTTTTAAGCCGAAATTGGTACAGACAATATCTTAAATTCAATAAGAACATTTGGGCATCTATAGGATTCGATTTTCCAATTAGAAGATTTTACCTAGAAATATTATAACAGACTTTGCCGGGGAAATGCAAGAGACTTTTCTACCAAGAGACAGTGACATGATAGAACTCACTTCCCAAAAATTATTTCTCTATTTATGCTGTTTTTTAAATATTTCTTGAGAATTTTCACAATCACTAAAACAATGTCTTTAAATGCAACTTGATTAGCTTATATTTTATTTGAGAAGAACGTCTCTATTTGATTTACAATTTTCGAGCAAGACTTTTTTAGAACACTCCTGGATGTAGAAAATCTAAAAGCTCTATTTTTAAAATGATCAATTTGTATTAGTTATTGTTATCAAAGAAAATAAATTAGGTGTAAAAAGTGAGGCGTTCTTTGTGTGTCCGACTTAATATCTGAACGAAGAGACATTTTTCAATTTCCATCTTTTGGATAACTCCACAAAGTTCAGGAATTTACAGAAATCAAACATGTATCACATATGATAAAACAAAACTGGCCTGTCTTCCTGCCATGCCCCCGCTGGGTCCCCGTGCCGCTGTGGTCGCTCTCGGCGTCGGCTGGCGTTCATTGCGCTTGGGAACAAAACGGGGGCCAAAGTGATCTAATATAAATATATTTAGATATCATATATGGAAATTTTGTAATAATAATAATATACAAACATCGTAATATAAAATAAGTGGTCTGATATGATATATTATCATATACAGACACAGACACACAAGCGCAAACGCACCCACACACACACACACGGACACACCACGAACGTACACAGGTACTTATACTTA